ATTTCAAGCGGGTTCTGCAAAGTCCTCCATGTCGCATTGACTTGTTTGGAGGGGTAACAACTTAGCAGTCCAGTTTCGATCATCGCCACGCAGACTCTCTATATACATACACAGCCTCTTGTGAATTAGGTTCTTTGATGCTGAGCCCTCGTCTGATTAGTGGCTAGTGGCTAGTGGCTAGTCAGGCTACTTGAATAATCTCTCTTCGCTCTCGATCCAACATCTTTGTTTCCTGCTCAAGGTGAATTCCGTATATACAGAGTACAAGTACAAGGACTACCTGGCTAGGGAGGAGTGATACAGCCCTCGGGCACTGGGCTGCATTAGACTGGTCTGGTTGGGGTGGGAGAGGGCTCGCTCACTCGCTGGTTCGGTTCCAGGTCCGACTTCGGACGTCGGCAGTGCATTGCAGCAATGCTGCATGTCACCACCATCCCATCCCTTTCTGCCAATGCATACCGAGTACGAGGTACATCAGTCCATGTCCAGGTCCTAGTCCTAGTCTAAATTCCGCACTGCATTGCACTAATTATGCACGGAGAATGGGATGTGTGTATGGGATATATGTACCTCGTAGCTCGTGCCGAGTGTCAGGTGCTAGGTATACTGGGTGCTAGGTGCCAGGCACGCAATGCGCACTATGCACTCGTATATATGTACATAGGCACACTTGTAACTCGCACATATGTAGCAACATACCATAACCTTGGTCGACCACCTACATCAGATATTCCGGTATCTCAACTACAGGTTAGCTATGTAGCTAGCTAGCTAGCCACCCGGCAATGTATTCAGTAACACTAGTGATACAAGCATATTAATATTATCATTACTCCCTCCCACAACACTGGATTGCGGCTATCTGACTGACCCACTGACTGACTGACCGGCTTCAACCCGCCGTCTAGAATTCAGCTGCTGCTGCTGCTCCTGGCATTGGCCACGGTCTGCCCATAACGATAGAAATCAACATCCCCCCTCGCCCTGGTCGCCGCGATATCACGCTCGAGCTTCACCACGAGGGCCTGCGCCGCGTCGTGGATCAGCCCGCGCAGCAACCCGATGCCATATCCAAGCAGGGCCTCCCCAATGATCTTCCAGCCCGAGGCCCCGATCTCGAGCTTGGCCCTCGTGATGTGCGCCCAGTTTCGAAACTCAAATTTGAGCGGGTACTCGGCCCTCCTCGTCGGCATGATGCATGCGTCGTCGGGTTTGCGTGGCGGTACGCGCACGGCGCGATGCATGCGGACCCAGACGCCGTCGTTGCCGGCGACCATGGAGAAGAACCGCACCTTGGCGAAGAACACGTCCTCGTGGCCGGCGTCGCGGAAGAACTCGAACATGTTGTGGAGCGCCTGGCTTGCGTCGTTCAGACTCGAGAGGCTTCCGATGTTGTCGTTGGTGGACGTCAGCCCGTCCGTCGCTTCGGCCGCGACGAAATGGAATATCCTCCCGGCTCCGGCCGCCTTGACGCCCTCGAAGCAGGCAAGCATCTTGGTTGCTCTCGGCAAAGCATGCCACAGTCTATCGGGAATGACGGTCTCCCTGCGGAAACACACCGCAAGCTCTGGCTTTGGTTGTGCCAGGAACCTGCCACCTTGGGCGAAGGCCCGAGTGGGCATTGGCGGGCAAGTCCATGGTTTTCCGTTGCGGAACTCGAGACAGTCGGGCTCGACGCTCCGTCTACTGTAGTTGAGGAGGTTTCGCATTATCATGTCCACCATCAGCGTCCGATGGTAGAACGACTGGTTCGGATTCTCGCCGAAATTCTCGTGGATCATCGCTTGATATATAATCCACTCAGGTCCGTAAGGGTCGTCTTCTGCCTCCTGTTCCTTGAGCACGGGAACTGATTCGAGACGTGGAACTTTGTCGGCGAAGGGATCGTCCTGTATATGTTCGGATAGAGCGACGTTTCGGTCCAAGAGGCCCTGAGGAAAATCCGCGTGGTACAAGTCGATCCTTGAGAAATCCTCCGGGTACCGTCGCTCTTCAGTGACCCTCTCGGCGTATCCATCGGATAGGTCTGCCTCGCTCCATGTTTCGCGTGACCTTTGACGCATTGCCTCTGATTCATATTCGAATTCGAATTCCGATCCGTACTCAGATTCGGATTCGGCTTCGGCTTCGGATCCGCTGCTTCCACTCTGCAAACCAGTGGACGGTTGAGACTTCATATTTGATCTAAGCACCCGTGTCGGAGCTGGGACTGGCGGAGGTTTGGTGTCCTTGGGAGCCTTTATAGATGCAGAGCGTCAGGAACGGAGCTTCTACTTATCTTCGGCGTTTGGCGCCTGGGAAAAACAAAGACTTCCCACGTTTGGAAAAGGTAGGAAGGGGGGAAATGGGTAATGAGCATTGGACATTACCTGGTTGCGAGCTGCTTGAGAAGCGGCCCTCTTTCTGACCCCTTGAGGAGCTGCTCCAGGTTTTGGTGCGAGCCGGGGCTTCTTAGCCTTCGTTGCAGGAGCCATTAGGACGATTGTGTTGGCCTCAGAGCCCAGACGTGGCGGTACGTGTAACTCCTAGAAGTGAATAGAACGAAGGAGTTTTGATCGCGTTGCAGGTGTTGCCGGGAACGCGGTATTTAAGCACAACCGCAGGAGGAAAGAATGCGTCGGAACATTGTCAACAAATGGACGGTCCCGTGCAGAGTGTCTAGGAGATGCGTGATGTTGAGGTTGTTTCGAGCAACGGAATGGAATCTGCTGTTACATGTAGGCGTGTGGAATGTGTGACACGCGTGGTGACGTTAAGGCGCCCTTGCGCCTTTGCGAGATGCTCTCTCATTCTGTCACTCTGGGAAATCAGCTCATTCCTAGGTATTGAGACATGGCGGTGGTCAACCTTGCATGAAAAGAATACTTCGCTACACGTCGAGACATCAAGATATACTCGGTACACCTCGTCGGAAACCGGGCAAATGTCAGGCCGAGAGCAGCTGAACCAACCATGTGCCTCAACGTGGACGCGTGGGAAAGGATCCAATGATCCACCGAAGTGCTGCTAAACTATTATCCGCACCCTGTCCGCGGACATAGCGGCTATCTCTCACTACCTCAGCTTGTCTATCTACCCTGTATCTAAGGACCTGGTGCATGGACGTCCTACTCTGTGTATGCAGGATATGTACACCCCAGGTACCTATGTGCGTAGGCCTGGTCAAATACTCAAGTCATCTACTCGATGCGTCTGTGCACCTCTTCAAGCGTGTCACACCACTCAAGAATTCGATGTCGTCCAAGACAACTCCGGTGGTTGCTTTAGCACCTGCCACGCTCGCTTTTGTGGCAACTGGACGAGGAGGATAAAGGGAGAACGATTTGCTCTCCAGAGATGCAAATTAACGAGTTCAATACACTATACTATCCATAGCCCTAGCTCGGCGAGCGAGCAATCAAATTGCGCCGCCTGATCTTTGATCAAAAGCTCTAGCATTCATACATAACAAGTATTCGGGGTCAAGGACAAGCCCTGTGTGAAATTGCTGCCCCTCGGGTCGGTGTTCTGGTGGTTGTCGGTTCTTGGCGATGGTTGACGTTGGTTTTCATCGTTTTCAGAGGTGAATTGGCGATAGCTGGTCCGATTCGATGCGTTCCCCATACATTTCCTTCCATACTCTCTGATCTGCCGTCCTTCCAATGGCGCTCCATCGCAGCCGCCATTCCTCTCTTCCCTCTTATTATACTCAGACTCATCTCCCAGTCTAGCAGGTGACATCGGTCTGCGCCTTCGAGTTCATCAATAGCGCAACAATCAACCCGTAAAGACCCAACACTTCGGCGAAAATCAAGATGAGAATCATGCCAACGAACAAGCGGGGCTGCTGAGCGGTGCCGCGAACGCCAGCATCGCCAACAATACCAATCGCGAAGCCCGCGGCGAGACCAGCAAGACCGACAGACAACCCAGCACCAAGTTGGATGAAGCTGGTGAACAGTGCTTCTTTTTGGGAGAGGTTATCGGAGATCAAGACGGAAACGACCAATCCGTAGATACCGATGATACCAGCCATAATGACGGGCACGATGTCTGTAGTTGTCAGTCACAAACAGTCTCCGGACTATGAGGCCAGAATTCCATACTCTTGACGATGAGATCAGGTCGGAGAACACCCATAGCGGAGATACCGACACCAGACTTTGCGGTTCCATATGCGGCACCGAAGCAGGTGAAAACGATAGCAGATGTGCAGCCCATGGCGCCGAAGAAGGGCTATTCAGCATTGAGAGAGTCAGCTTTCTCCGCTTTCTGGAAAGCATTGCGGAAGATCATTGAGCGGAAGAGGCAAGCGAATGAGTAGATGAGGTGGCATTTTGCGCAAGGTAGCATGACATACCGCATAGACGGGACTAAAGAAGCAGAAATGTTAGCAAAGGCTATCTCAAGAACGAAATCGGATAGAAGGTAGTGTCAAATGGTAGCTCCGTCCATCTTGTCATGCAGGTAGGCGGGCGCAGGCTGAAGGCAATCCGACAGCATGAGGGGGCCGGAAACACGTACCAGAGATCAGAAGACATCTTGACTGGTCTGCTTGATTCGCTCGTGGATAGCTCCTAGATAGGGAATAGGTGCAGGGAGAGTCGGACGGAGCGAAAAGAGCTTGACGGCGATGATGGAGTTGAGCAGGAATGGAACAGTTTTTCGGTGCTGAGCAGAGCAGGTAATGGGTGATGATGTTTCGAAGGTCGAGTTCCAAGGGGAAGCTCCAACTTGGCCAAGCCTCTGTTAGAGGAAAGTCAACCGAGTTTCTTGAGCGCCTCCGCGTAAACTTTTTAGACCCCCAGAAATTATTTTTTTGATAGACTCACACCAACACCAAAGTTGTTCAGTGCGACATCGTTGATCGCAGAAGCAAAGGGCGAGCCAACGCAAGGAACCCTTTGCTACACGCTTGTTCATACCCATCCGCATTTATTTACAAGCTCGAATTTGCGTTACAATCAACCACTTCCGCTCTATCGAAGCAGCTCGAAATATCCAAGCCGCATATCGCAAAAATGGCCGACAACCCGAGTGCTGCATGGCCCTTGGCCGACGAAGCTCTGTCGCAGAAGATTCTGTAAGTCTTTGCTTTCCTCTCCCAAAGACACTTGACCGCCGTCCTTCCAATCACAGCACTGACTAGATGGGCGCAGGGACACCGTTCAACAAGCCTCTCACCACCGCCAGCTGAGGAAAGGCGCAAACGAAAGTAAAAAATTCTCTCCCATGGGCCCCTCCCTCGATCTTAGATCTTGGTTATACTGACCCAATCTTCTGTCAATAGCAACCAAAACCCTCAATCGCGGCACCGCCGAACTCATCGTTCTGGCCGCCGACACCTCTCCACTTGCCATTCTCCTTCACCTTCCCCTCCTCGCCGAGGACAAGAACGTGCCCTACGTCTATGTTAACTCCAAGACGGCGCTGGGAAGAGCTTGCGGTGTTTCACGGGCGGTTATTGCGGCGAGCATCACGACCAACGAGTCGAGTGATCTGATGCCTCAGATCCGCGAGCTGAAGGACCGAGTCGAGAGACTCATGATCTAGTTTGGGAAGGAAAGGAATTGGGACATCGCGCGAGTTGGGGGTCATGGGTTTGGAGACAATGGTACTGCAAAGGGTGCTGTGCGGCGATCAAAAATGGGGTTTGCTTGCTACAATAGCATATTCCAATCGTGATTGTGTACCCTATGAACCCATCCCGTACATCAGCACGCGGAAGACATACGGAGTGAGAAATGATTCCACAGAAAATAAATCCAAATAATTCAGAATCAACCAGAACGCCAGAACATATAGATCTTGCTACATTATACAGCCCGGCCTCGTATTCCATTGCGCAATCCGCTCGCCGCGGAAAAATGGACTCAGCGTAAACCAAAAAGCACCACCGATGCATTCGACGTGGAAAATCTGTTGCCGTAGCGCCTGTTACTTGTCGCATGAGGTCGTAAAGAATCGTCAATGGTTGTCCTGTCCTCAAGAATCTCCCAACGCCATAATATTTCCCTGCTCTGACCCTTCAATAACCCGTCTGATATGGCCTTGCTCAAGCCGTCTGGCATTCTCCCTACCCTCTTCGAGCCGCTGCACGCCCAACCGTAGATTCTCGACGTGCACCGCCAGCGGGATCTCTTTGTGGCCCCTCAATACTTCAGCGCTCGAGACTCTGGTCCGCAGTTCCTCCAGCTCAGCACCCATGGCCTGCAGCTTGAGGATCGTGGCAGAGACATGCGCCCATGCCACTTTGCGATACTGCCCGACTTGTCGCAAAAGAGTCAGTTGATTGTTGTACTTTCCCAGCTTCGCGCGGTTGCCGCCCAGCAGAGTCCACAGGTGCGAGAGGATCTCGTCCTTGTTAGCCTGTGCGGCGAGGTTGTCGCGCAGCGCGATAGCGTGGATCACGTCGAGCCGGTCTTCGAGGTTCTGCAGGACCATGAGTAAAGCTTGGGCCTCTTCGATCAGACGCTCGATTTCTTCGGACACTATCCGTGTGTGAGAGATGTATTGGTCGAGAAGCCTTGCCTCGGTGAATTGTATCGGTTTGAAAGGGGCCAGAAGTTTGTCTTGTATGAAGCCCGGGATGATGCCTCGGGAAGATTGCTTGACCGCCATATCATCGAGCACGCGTTGCGTCCAACGCGCTGTGCTCAGAACAATGTCCACCCCACGGCCAACGTGTGAATTGAATTTCTGAAGGTCATATGATGCTATACGAGCGGTCTCGATGAACCCATCAAATTCGAGAACCATCTCGTTGCGTGAGGCGAGCTGTGAGTACCGCACAATCTGCCGTAGATCGCGAATCGAGGTCTCCGATCTTTTCATGTCCAAGGGTAACGAAACACCTGCAGCAGATTCAGATAAAATGTCTTCAAAGTGAGATTGCGTCTTCATCAGAGCGTCGAACTCGACGGGAGCGGATGCTCCAGCAGGAAGAGTCGGGTTGTCGTTATGTGGTGAGGCAAATTGACACAGTCGAAGGTTGAGAAGAGAGACGCCAGGAATACGACATATGGGGGACAGAGCCGTATAGATGGAGCTGGTTAGGAGATTTTGCACAAGCATCAAGATGCCGAAGAAGAGATATGCCGCAAGCAGCCAAGATATGGGCCGCTTCAAGGTCTTCAGCGTCTGCCCTAGGATATCGAGCAGCCATTCCGTAGCATGCACCAGAACTAGGACGATCTTATCCACCACTGGCGATGTCGTTCTGTTGTGTGTTTGTGTCTGCCTCAATTGGTCCGAGCGTGCTGATATTGCCTGCTGCTTCGATGAAGCGACGTTTGGCCTGCCAGGTGGTTTACCCCTCCGGACGACCTTCTCCGATGGATTGATACTTGTTGCGAAGGATGGCATGATGAACTCTGGTTCTCGTGCTGTCGGCGTGGACAATCTGGGAGACTTGCGTCTCTCTCGTATGGCTTTCGTCATTTGTGGTTCCTCGTCATTAGGGACAGCAACCTCTAGTTCTCTGTCGGATTCCGATTCTGCAGAACGTTCGTCCCAACTGATCCTCTCATCGCCTTCATCTTCCACCACCCAGGATTCGCCCAATTGAGAATTGGATCCAGGAGCCATTTTATAACGTGCGCACTCAGTGGTTTTGGCCCGTCATGCAAGGAGGACCATTCCCCTGTGAAAAGGCGACACTCAGGAGGGCTGAATGAGTTCAGCCTTGTGTATGGAGAGGTGGCTGTCCCTGGTGGCGGGAAGTCTCCTTAAGGTATTAGCGAGGCGTTTCCTTTGAGTTGATATATAGGTGTATGTGTAACATCTGGATCAAACATGTTCTTTGCCACTTTCACTTATAAGCCAGAGAAGCACCGGACCAGGATTCTTGAGTGAACACGTAACAGGTCGCGTTCAAGGTCCAACTATTCGCTGTTCAACAACAGGAGGCGATTCGGGAAACATTCCAATCATGGACTTACGTCATAGTCGTTAGCGGCTAGGCACAGCTAGTGGCTGCAGTTGTCACTAGGGCTCATAACCATCGACCTCGCTACAGCACCCTCGATTGTAATGGTGACAAAGTATCTGGCTCAGGCAACAGTGAGAAAGGCCCCCACTGCCCCAGAAAAGCAAGAGTTGTAAAAGAAAGATGGCCAAGACAATTTTCTTCCTGATCCTAACCCTCAAAGGTCGACCAATCGAGTTTTGCTGGGATTCCAAAGGGCAGCAGATTGATATAGATAGAGGTGTTGTGAGTCCAGGGCTTCCGCAATAGGCTGGGCTCAATCAGCTGAACCCAAATGGCCTTCATAAATCATTCGACCAGGGCAACAGAAGCTGTGTTTCTGAACATGGCACGGCTGAAGATCTGCCGCTCTGAACGAATTCTAATTCTTGATGCACAGAACACTCGTCCCGGATTCTGGTGTGCTATCACCGTGCTGTTTGCATCAGGCTCCGTCACATTTGTGTTCTCGTTGTCGATGATAGTGACCCAAGACTTCGATTGCTTGACATAATCCTTCAAGTGTGCAGGTAGGCAAACACGCTTAAATCCCACCACTAAAGATTACCTTGAGTCGACTTTGTAGGTATTCCCTGAAGATGGTACAGGCACCCAACAGGCAGACAGGGTCTCGTGCTGACGTTGTTCAAGGCGGCTAACTACTTGAGACTCGGTGGAGTTGGAATTGTCTATAGCAGGCATACGAGGACAATCGTAAGGTTCACATTTGTCTGAGGATCTGGCGAGTGACGAATACACGTACAGGAGTGAGCCACCCATGAGCTGCCTGCTCGTTTAATCCATACTAATTCCTCATGGTGTCCACATCGGAGATTGGCATTCGGAAGGGGGACCGCGCACGGTTGCCAAAAACTCAAGCATGATAGAATTAGTAGATCCAGTATGCAGAGGTAGAATATCAGACAGAAATAGCTGGAAAGGTGCTTGCACTAAAACCAAAAAGCTTCTATTGAGCAATGCTCGGTACTTACTACTAGGTACCTAGGTATTCGTGAAAGTCGTTCAGAGGGCGCCTCCTTGGGTAATTCGGATACGGTAAGCAAGGCGAGCCACTAGGACAGGGTTTGTTAGTGAGTCTTGGCCTCGTAGCGTGATTGTCACTACAGCGCACAGGTGATACTGTGACCCAAGTCTTGGCAAATATTTTTGTTTAAATACCTCGCTTCCCCCAGTCCCCTTTGTGAAAAGACATACTTGTGCGTTCTCCCCAAACCAACCCCTACATTTGGAATGATCAAACAGCTAACATGATGATAGACCTTGTGGGAGCAACCTAGCTCAAGAAGTGGGTTTGCTATGGCGGTGTCCCTGCATTGCACATCGCGGTGGATGTCGCCATTAAGTGTCCTTCGGGGCTCTTATCCGCGTATTTTTTGGCTCCTTCATCCTTTTCATCATTGCCTCTTTGCCTTGAGCAAAGCTTTGGAGAAGAGAGATTCCTTGATTGCGGCTGGATACAATTGCCTGGTAGGGACACGTGTCCAGAGTAGCAATATTTAGAGACTGGTTTTGAACGATAGGTTGGTCTCTCAGAGTGTCTTACGATATCGTAAGTTAGGGCATTCGCTGTCAGGAGGCTGTAGTTGTGCTGTTAAGCCATCATCATGGTCCCAACCGCAAAAAGCGTAGTGACCTGATGGCAACAGTTCCAAAGGAGTTATTTCTGAGGTTTGACTGCGCGCAAGCAGCCGTCCGAAATTAATGTGCGCAGGCAAAACCCGCCTAAGAGAGCTTCAGACACTCTCCCTTGCCACGAAGACTCGAGTCCTTGTACAATCAAGTCCTCCAGCAAATCCCTCGACGATCACTTTCCCGCTCACGACTACGACAGAATGGCCACAAGAGTCTGTCTGTTGAGTGCTAGAATCCAAGCCACGTCCTTTGCCCGGCGAGTCGCGTACCCCTGTCGCAAGAGAAGGAAGATCATCAAGCTGATATCCATTCGAAATAGAATGTGGACAATCCATCGTGATAACCATCAAGAACGTTTGATCTACAGGATTGACCCAAAACAGTGATGACTGCCTACATCAACGATAATATGGCCTGGAATTACCAATTGCTCCCTTCACAGTAACCCGCCGGCTAACCCTTGCCCCGCATAAGCTCTCCAATTCAACAGGTACCTAGGCACGTGGATTGAACCGAGGGTAATTGACAATACTGGACATATACAAAGGCCCATAAAGAGGAAGTCCCACTGTCTTCCGCCATCTCTACGCTTTTCCCAGACACATTCGTCCATTCGGTACCCTACAAGCGTGTTCATTTCACTCAAGATGCCTCCCAGACCCCACCCACCTATCCAAATCCCGGATTCCTATACTACCCTACCTCTGAAGCAGATCAAGGTCTCTCACGTCCCGGCATCCTCACCAACTCCCACGCCGGTGCTGCTCGTAACCTTGAACAGACCGCAGAAACACAATGCATTCACAGATCAGATGCGGGAGGATATGGAACGGCTCTATGAAATCATCGACATTGATCCGCGGGTCAAGGTTGTTGTCTTGACCGGTGCGGGACGGAGTTTCTGCGCAGGAGCCGACTTGGATATTGGATTCTTGGGTGCAAGAGATGAAAAGGGCCAACTTAAGAATCCCAAGACTGAACGTGACGTGGATCACAGAGATGGGTAAGGATGACTACCGAACATACAAAGGCGATGCTGATCTATTTGCGCAGCGGAGGGAGAGCTTCTTTGGCAATCCACCACTGCTCCAAGCCAACCATCGCGGCCATCCAAGGCGCTGCTGTCGGTGTGGGCATCACCATGTGCCTGCCAGCAGCCATCCGCATCGCATATGCGAAGGCCAAGATTGGCTTCGTGTTTAGTAGACGAGGGCTCGTCATGGAAGCCTGCTCCTCCTACTTCCTCCCTCGATTGATTGGGCACTCTCGAGCGCTGCATGTGACCACCACTGGCTCCGTGTATCCTGCGGACAGTCCGCTGTTTGGCACTCTTTTCTCCGAGCTATGCCCAACACCAGAAGCAACCTTGTCTCGAGCACTCGAGCTTGCCGATGAGGTCGCAAAGAATACCTCGGTCGTCTCAACAAAGCTCATGAGAGAGCTGATGTACCGAGGCGCAGACAGTGCAGAGGGCACTCATCTCCTTGATTCCAGGGTCATTCACGGCTTGTTTGGCAGCAAGGACAACCTAGAGGGCGTTGAGAGCTTCCTGCAGAAGAGGCCAGTCAATTTCACTGGGCAATTACCACAGGACGCACCACCTGCATATCCTTGGTGGGATCAGGTCGACATTGGCTCAAAATCGCCAGACCCAAGAGGCAAACCCAAGTTATAGATGCTCTGTGCACACTGTATGGTCAACGGATCTGAGTTATTGCGATAATAAGATTCAAGTTCAATCTCGCTTTGGGTTATCGTAACCTGCCTCTTCTAGGAAGGCACAGTGTCCAGATACAGAAGAAAACCTGCTGGTGCACGCCTGTCTGGGCCAAAAGTGACGGAGTGGCCATCGTCTGCAGCTAGATCAGTCATCCTTATGGTTGACTATCCCCTACTCGTATCTTGCCAAAAGACAATAGAGATTCCTTGTCGCTGCCAACACCCCGGTTGGTGCTGTTGCTGCATGATTTGCTAAGCACTCGGGCCTGGCCCCGGTTGGGTGCCCGGCTTGATGGTCGTAGATTGAAAGCTATTGGCGGAACGTTGTGGTGGGGTTCAAAGGAATCGTCCTGCGACACGGATCACATCATCAGCCAAACTGCATTCGCATACAGAGAAGCCCACCGATCGAAAGCATTATTAGCGATCAAGATTCGGACATTCCAATAAAGACCGTTCCCGCGATTGCGATAAAAACCCTTGGGCCTGCCTTTCCTGCTCTTTTGTCCTGCTCCTTCCCGTGACATGTCAATTGGGTTCGGTCGTCTCTCCAGACTTGCTACTACCCTCGAACGACCTTCGATTCTGGCGTCTGGAAGGTCTCTGCACATTGCACCGTCGCGGCCGAACCCCGCTTCGTCCCCGGCCTCCGTCTCTAGACTCGCAGGTCTCTCTAAGCAATTCTCCTCCTCTTCCTCGGATATGGCTCCAGTCACGAAGCAATATGACTACATAGTCATCGGAGGTGGATCAGGTGGAAGTGGTGCTGCGAGAAGAGCAAGTGGTTGGTATGGCGCAAAGACGTGTATCATCGACGCCGGGGTATCGGGAGGTTGCTGTGTCAACGTTGGGTAAAGAAAGACTCATACCCAAAGAATTGGGGTCCATGTACTGATCTTCCGTGCTAGCTGCGTACCTAAGAAAATGACCTGGAACTTTGCATCCATCAGCGAAGCCATCGCAGCAGGCAAGCACTACGGCTACAAATTTGGCGACGGAAACTCCTTCGATTTCAAGACCTTCGTCGAGAAGCGTGATGCCAGAATAAAAGTCCTCAATGGCGCCTATGAGAATAACTGGGCCAAGGAAGGCATTGATCTGATAAAGGGACAAGCATCGTTTATCAGCGAGCATGAGATGGAGGTCACGCCCAAAGATGGAAGCGAAGCATTCAGAGTCACGGCGCCGCATATCTGTATTGCAACTGGATCATACCCGACAAAGCCCGAAGGCATCAAAGGCTCAGAGTATGGCATTACGTCCGACGAGTACTTCCTGATCAAACATCTCCCAAAGAAGATGGTTTTCGTTGGCGCAGGATACATCGCAGTCGAGCTTGCGGGTGTGATGAATGCCATCGGTGTTGAGACGCACTTGTTCATCCGACACAACACCTTTTTGAGAAAATTTGATCCGATGATCCAAGAAACCATGACCAAGCATTATGAGGAAATTGGCATCCACGTACATCGAAACCATCCTGGTATCAAGGAAGTCATACAATTGAACCCTGGTAGCGAAGACGGCTCCGACCCCCGAGAGAAGCAGCTCAAGTTAATAATGAACGATGGTACTGAGATGATCACCAACGAGCTGTTATGGGCAATTGGCCGAGGCCCAGAAACAAGAGGTTTGGGGATGGAGAAAATCCCGGTCAAAACGAACAAGACGGGGCACATTGTCGTGGATAAGTACCAGAACACATCAGTCGAGGGTATTTATGCTCTGGGTGACGTTACAGGACAGGTAGTGAAGCTCCAGGACACCCGGATGAGCCTGCTGCTAACAAAGAATCAAGGCTGAATTGACACCTGTCGCCATCGCCGCCGGTCGTCAACTAGGTAATCGCCTCTTCGGACCTCCTGAACTCAAGGCTTCGTACCTCGACTACGATCGCATCCCCTCGGTGGTCTTTTCGCACCCCGAAGTCGGCGCCACAGGCCTCACCGAACCTCAAGCTATCGAGAGGTATGGCAAAGAAAACATCAAAGTTTATCATACCAAGTTTTCGGCCATGTTCTACGACGTGTAAGCAACATTTACTGATGCCGGGCGCCAAAAACACGGTGCCCTAGACGAACACGGAACTAATGGATTTGCTAGATACCCGCCAGAGGAGAAAAAGAAAGAGCCGACAGAGTTCAAACTCGTGTGTCAAGGTCCCCGCGAAGAGATCGTGGGACTGCATATCCTGGGCCGAGGAGTTGACGAGATGATGCAAGGATTTGGGTGAGTGTCCACTAACAATTCCCCTCCTCTGCTGCGCGGCATGCTTGAAGAGATATCCAATGTCACTCTTCTGGTCCACCTTTTACTAACGATGTCCTTGCGCAGTGTTGCCGTCAAAATGGGCGCAACGAAGAAAGATTTTGATAGCTGTGTTGCGATCCACCCGGTATGTTTTATCCTCCATATTCCTGCTCGTCTTGAGGTCCAGATTACTTACGAATGACACCAGACCAGCGCAGAGGAATTGGTGACAATGAGGTAGAGAACAAGATGGACCCTTGCGGCCGTTTCCTCCTCCAAACCTAGAATTTGGTCAGGTGGCTGTTCTATATCGAGAAGAAAAAAACATGCATAGAGCGAACTCGGGCTTCTCACACACATATCAATAATCTGCCTGCTCCATCTCTTTTCGGACTTCTAGACACCAAGAAATGTCGCATTACATGTGACATCTACACATATACCGGGAGGGATGTATAGACTTAAGACACCGCAGGTGTTGAAGAGATAGCTAATGACCTCACAAAACAAAACTACACGGGTAGTGTTCGCTCCCCTTACTGTACTCCTTGTTCTCACAACATCTTGTCAACAAACACTTGCTCTCTTTTTGGTTCTCTTTTCTCTTCCCTCTCCCCTTTCCACACGCGTACACCAGGGCTATAGATATATCTGGATCCCCTTTTTTACAGGACCCAGATCCGCTCTGCTCCACTGGCGTCCCTTACCCCGTTCTTGTTCATGCGGCCGTACCACAGCCTCAGGCCGGCGCTCATAGCGGCGACGAAGAAGCCGCAGGCGGCGCAGACAAAGTTGCCCGTCGGGTAACCCTTGTGGGCCTCGTCGGCCTTCCAGATCCACTGGGCGATGATCTGGCCGATGCCGGCGGAGCTGTTGTTGAGGGCGATAGCGAAGGGGATGGTCAGTAGCGAGGGCGTGTTGCACGCGACCCAGTTGGCCATGGATGGCGCGACGGGAAACGCCCCGCACGCCGCCAGACACAGACACCCGTACCGCGAAGCGTAGGCGTCCGGCGGCAGCAGGCCCGCCGCCAGCCACCCTGCGGCGCCGACCAGCGACGCGATCGTGATGTGCACGCCCCGCGCGTTGAAGTGGTCCGCCGAGTACGACAGCGTGATGGCCACGACGAAGCCCACGCACCACGGCGGCACCGTCAGGAGCTGTGCGTGGATCGACGTGTAGCCGAGCCCGCTGACGATGGTTGGCGTGAAGAATGTGAATGAGCCTTGGGGGACGACGTCGGCGATCTGGTCATACACCATCGCATCGGAGTCAGCTTTCTTTGTTGGTTTAGGGGTTCCCTTCTAAGATGCTTCCGCGAGACAGCGCCATCCTTGCAACCCATGCCCCAAGAGTGGGCAACACAGGATAGGATATGTGTTAGGAGGGTACGAAGAGGAAGATCAATAGAAAGAAAAACACTCACGTATGCGATGTAATGCGCCAACATCCTCGGACTGAAGAATGTCTCGAGGACTTCCTTTCTCGAGGCGTGGCTCCTGAGATAGCCGCCGCCTCGTTCCTTCAAGCGGTCCTCGGCGAAGCGCTTGTCCGACTCGTTCAGAAACTTGGCTCGGGCGGGATAGTCGGGGAGGAAGAACAAGAACGACGCCGAGACCAGCGTGATGATGCCTTCGATGATGAAGAGCCACCTGAACCCCTCCAGGCCGGCAGAGCCGTTGACGTGGCCCACCCCGTAGGCGATCGCGCCTCCAAAGGCGCCGGCGAGGTTGCAGAAGGCGACGACGCAGGCGATCCGGACGGCGCGCTCGTTGTAGCGGTACCAGATCGTGATGAAGTAGACGATACCTAGAAAAGGGGGTGGGGATGTATTGTCAGTCTTATGTTCCTGTTCCTAACCCGGCACGTCCATCAACAATGCTTCGTCTTTGTCCTCTGGTGATGATCACCCCCAAGACCACAACCAGAGGCATCAGCATGCTGGATCGACCGAGGTCGAAAGGATCAAATGAGCTTTGTTACCTGGGAAGAAACCGGCCTCAAAGGCACCAATCAAGAACCTCAACACCACGACCGTCGCATAGTTCTGCACACCAGCGAACCCGATCGTCAATGCACCCCACGCAAACAGGAGGAACCCCAGCCACAGCGACGGCCGGACCCAATGCTTCATGACATAGTTGCTAGGCACCTCGAAGATTGTGTAGGCGAGCGAGAAGAGGGAGACGGTGACGGCGTAGCCATTGGCCGTCATGTGGGTCTGCTGAAGCAAGTCATCCCCGGTCTCCGAGTTGAGCACCTTGGAATTGCCAATATTGCCTCTATCGAGAAAGTTGAGCAGGTAGACCCAGCAGCAGAGGGGCAGGATGCGAATGTCGAGTCGCCGATTCAGGCGTCGATTGCGCTTTTCATACTCGATAGGGTCGACGATATAGGTGCCTTCTTCGCTGGAAGGAGACTCGATCACGACTTTCTGTACCAAGTGACGCGTCAGGAGACCTGGTGGCGTGTTTGAGATCCTACAGGTGCCTTGCTTACCTCTGGTTCTGTATCCTCATGGTGTTCTGCGGGTAGTGATTTTTCCATCTTGTCGTTGAGAAGACAATCCTGATATTCACTGCTTGCCTGACTCTTGAGGATTCTCGCAACAAGGGAGAAGGGGACGGTCGTCTCACAGGCATGCCGGTACCATCACCTTATATCATGGGCCATGGTCCCTTGGAACGTGGCAACCTGAGTATCACAGCCCGACGGACCAGAACCGATCGGCAAAGAGGCCGTTATGCCCGGGCTCGTTCATCTTGCATCACCTTGGATCATGACACTTGAGGCCCTGAGACAGGGACCCATGTAATTCGGCATATGAGACGGAGGATCGACCGGGAAGTGATGTGCAGATCAGACGTGAAATCATTGGACGATGGCCAGGGAAAACTGCGGGCAGCGCGGGGAAACATGGACGGAGAAAAGAACCTAGTGATGTATTGCGCCGTCTAATGCAACGTCCACGGCCAGGGGATCCAGACTCGTTTCTCCAAGGGGTGCCATGAGACGGCACAAGTCCAGTATATCGGTCGAGGCGAGGGAAATCGGACCCCGTGCCCTGCAAGCTAGTCCAGCAGCAGTCAGACTGTGAGCTCGAGCTCGGCTGGTGATGTGCCGAATCCTTCCATTCATCTCATGACATGTACGGTAGAAAGACAGAAGAAGCTTGACAAAGAAAACACTGATCCACCGCATGAGAACAGACACATGGCTGCTTCGCTGTACAAAGACAAAAACATCACATCATCACCCAATAACCCCGACTTCATGAATAGGCATCAGAATCTTCCTCTTCCTCTTCTTCTTCTTCTTCTTCTCTGCGGTCAGCATCGTCTTCCATATGCGCATAGTCGAGTATTCCGTCGTCATACTTCTCCTCCCTTCGATGAGGGACGATGCTCTTCTGGATGCCAAATGTCTTGACAATGTCTTCCCAAACGTCGAAGTCGAGCGTGAAGATCGCTTGGTTACGCTGTGTTTCCTGTCTCTCTGCGAGGCTCTTTTCAGGTACCAGACCCAATGTCGGCATCCCGTCGCTATCAAAGTCCAACGCCACTTTTCCTTCCTTGATCAAAAAGCTCACATAAAACATATTCTCGACTGTTTGTCCAAATGATTTCGGGTTGACACAGAAGTTGAACAGTGGCACGCAGCCATTATCAGCTATTTCATTCCTCCGTAGGAGCTCTCGTGTCTGCTGTTCCGAAAGCACCTCCTCGACTTCGTTGACTTCTCTCTCAGCATTTTCCTGTCCTGTAGTCATACTCTTGTGCAATAGACGTGCGATCTCGGTGCAGATCTCAGTGAGGTTGGCTGATTCCTGCTTCTGCAGATCCTCGTCGCCCAACTCGACCGGACGCACCGCTTGCGTGGGCTCAGTACGAGCTTCACGAGCTTTCCGCTGGGTTTGCTGCCGGATCTTCTTTTGAACCGATAGAGGGCCAAGGAGAAAGCCGGTCAGGCAAGGCCGTGAGTTGTACAGGAAACAAGCATTTTTCCCCAAGTACTCCCAATTCATGGTATCGCCTTCGTCCTCTTCATCCGCGTCCTGATGCCGCCTTCGCCGTTGAGACTGGGTTTGAGTGCTGGTAGGAGCATCGCGATGCGCCGTTTCGGGTTCGTTGCCCTGTTTCATGAACATGATACATTTCGTGACGAAATCGTCGACGTCAACACCAATCATCCCATCGCCCAGCGTCAAATTGTTGATCTTTCTGTAAGACAGGTCTGCAGTGTCGACGAGTAATCGCGAATCAATAGTGGCCTCTGAAGTTTGCTTGACATTCTTGTAAATTCCGTCCAATCTTATGAGTGTCTCTTCGAGGCCATTTGAGTCAGGTTGAAGGTATTCGGCCCTGGAGTCGTGGAGCTCCGCGTAAAGACTGCGCAGACCCTTGCGGACCTGGCGTCGTTCTTCAGGATCTTGATCGGGATCATAGTATTGTTGGACGGAAGGAGTCTGTGATTCCTCTACACCTGTTCTCCTTCGCTTCCGAGAGTCGGCAGGAGTCCTCTCTGACATATTGACTGTAGCACTCTTCCTCTTCTTGTGATTCCCCGCGGTATGATGCTCGTTCTCTTTATCGGAGTCGTCCGTCTGAATGGTTGACTGGGGTGCATGCGATGTAGCTGTATGACTGTCTGGGGAGGTCGGGAGGATCTCGTTGTCAGGATCAGTCGAGATAGCTTGGGTGTTTAGACGGGCCATGGTTGGCGCATTCCGCACGGGCGAGGCCAGAAGGACCGTGCGACGAATCGCTAAGGATTGGACTCGGTGGGTGGGTGAGGGGCAGCCTAAACTTTGAGAGAAAGTAATGCGAGAGGATTTTCCTCCACGCCTTCACGATACAAAGCACGCTACACTAACCACAGGCCTATAAACGATAGAAGGGGTATGAAGCAAGGTAATGGGCGAAGACCTTGGACATTGGGAGGGACGAGGACAAGGCACGAGGCTCCACAAGACGCGGCAACCTGATCCTCAACCTCAACGCGTTCGAAAGATACGCTAATCCAATATAGGTTAGCGTAACAGCCTTCCCCAGGGACGCCCGCCTTGTTCATCCATCAGGCTTCACTCTGTCAACTAGTAACCATCGAACCATCTACAGATGGTACACATTGACATATCTGTTGCTACTTCTTAGAAACGATGGCTAGTGGCTCCTCTAGCACTCCATCATGGATACTTACACCTTTGCGACCTCTCGCCAGATAGACTTTCCCGTCTGTGTCAGAATGTGAGTCCCTGGCTTAATCGGCTCTCATTCTTACCCGCTCGTTGCCGTCAATTCTAGACCGATAACAGGTCCTTTGTACTAATTCCTTGTATCTAGCAATACATTGGAGGGCAAACAACACTCCTTCCCGTATACTGTTCTCCTGAAACACCCAGAAATACGCCACATCGGATCAGTCCAAAGTCCGAATTCAGAGCTTTATGTGACTGCTCAGCTATGGGCCGAATCCAAGCCGTTAGGAGTCTCCTTGCAAACACCACATACATTCTTCAAGAACAACAGAACCTGGAATAAGTGGCTGGAGTTACCTGTTCTGGTCAAGGACTGTCCCGCCTCCTCTCAAGTTGCCATCACTGTGTGGGATATCTCGCCATGTCCAGAGAATGGCAGTATTGACCACGCTGTGCCGTTCGGCGGCACGACCATTCCATTGTTTGATAGAGATGGCACTTTGCGGAAGGGTCGCCAGAAATGCAAAGTATACCGCCGAAGACCCGCTGATGGTCAGTCACCGTCAAGAACGCCACACATTCCCCGCCCAAAACGTCGAAAGCCCAATGAGCAACCCCCTCCCCCTATACCGGAGGAGGAAGAGCTCGAAAGACTGGAGCAGCTTTTCAAAAAACATGAAATGAATGAGATCCCCCAGAACGACTGGCTAGATCAACTGGTCTTTCAGAATGTTGGCAAGAAAGCCCGTGAAGTCGAGGAAGCTGCACGGAAACGCTCCTCGGCCAATAAGCCATCGAAGCGCAAGTCGGCGCAAATGTTACCTAAGGGATTGAATGAGACTGCAAACGGACACGCCGAGCTTGATGTTGACGACGATTCTGACGACAACACAGACGACGAAGAACGTTTCACTCTTTATGTCGACTTCCCGCGGTGGGACTTCCCCATCATATTTGAAGATTATGGGTATGAACCATCAAAGATGATGAAAGAATTTCAAAACACTCCTTCGGCTTCAGCCGTAGGCGCAAAACCTCCACCAGAAGTCAGATATGGTCCAGGCATCGCTCCAGGCACATCTGTGGCGGATGACGAGGATTTCCCAGTCGTCCAGATCTTTGACCCCGAGCAGTTCCAACGGGAAAACCCTTGTGAGAGCAAACATCGGCGACTAGTCCGAAGCGACAGGAATGCATTTTCCGATAGCGATCAAAAGCCGAATGCCAAAATGAGGGACGAACTCAATGAGATTCTGTCGTATGGGCCAACACAAGAGCTGAGTGCCCAAGACAAAGATGTCATCTGGACGTTCCGACGGCACCTGAGCCGTGATAAACGAGCTCTGACCAAGGTCGTCAAAGCAACCGATTTCACGAATCCAAACGAGGTCCGTCAACTTGTTGAATTGATCCCTAGGTGGGCCAAGATCGATGTTGATGCAGCTCTCGAATTGCTTGGTCCGACTTATGACAACCCAGTCGTCCGGGCATATGCTGTTGACCGACTCCGACAAGCTGGGGACGCTGAACTGCAGTTATACCTCCTTCAACTCGTCCAAGCCCTGAAATTTGAGAAGTATGAGAGTACCGAGGAAGGGCTTCCAGCGTCGTCACTAGCCAAGTTTCTGATCGACCGTGCTGCCAATAATTTTATGCTAGGCAACCACCTGCACTGGTTCCTCATGGTTGAATGTGTTGACCAAGGCAGTGACACGAGCGCCGCAAACCGTGCAGTGTTTGCAAGAGTGGAATACTACTTCATGGTGGAGCTAGAAAAGCGTGATCCGAGTTTACGCAAGACGCTGTTGAGACAAGGTGAACTGATCACCATCTTGTCAAGTATCAGCAAGGAGATCCGGTTCAGCAGGACCAACCGCATACAAAAGATCGAGTTGCTCAAGAAGACACTGGCTGATCCCAAGAACGAACTTGTCAAAATCGAGCCACCAATACCGCTCCCCCTTGACCCTGAGGTTCAAGTGTGTGGGATCTATCCCGACGAGGCCAATGTCTTCAAGTCGTCACTGTCACCATTGTACCTGAATTTCAAGGTCGCGAGCGCTGCTGAAAGTTCGAGTGCGTCGTCACAGCGAACGCAGACACACGGCAAATACCCCATCATTTTCAAGACGGGCGATGATTTGCGGCAAGATCAGCTTGTTATTCAGATTATCACACTGATGAATAATCTCCTGCTCAAGGAGAATCTTGACCTGAAACTGACTCCCTACCGTATCCTCGCAACCTCGCCATCCGCTGGCGCTGTCCAGTTCATACCATCCACTGCGCTATCAGTGATCTCGGCGAAATACAAGGGGTCGGTGCTAGCGTATCTACGTGCCAACAATCCTGACGCATCGGGACCCCTTGGTGTCCGCAAGGAGACGATGGATACATACATAAGATCGTGTGCTGGATACTGTGTGATCACGTACATTCTGGGGGTCGGAGACCGCCACCTCGACAATCTCTTGCTTCAACCCTCGGGCCACTTCTTCCACATCGACTTTGGCTTCATTCTTGGACGTGATCCGAAGCCTTTTGCACCACTCATCAAATTGTGCAAAGAAATGGTGGAAGGACTGGGTGGCACCGCGTCACCACAGTACGCCCAGTTCAAACAATTCTGCTTCACAGCCTATACGACCCTGCGCAAGTCCAGCTCCTTGGTGCTGAACCTGTTCAGTCTGATGGTTCAGAGCTCTGTCACGGATATTAGGCTGATGGAGGAACAGATGGGGGGTATGGGCGGTGCTGTAGGCAAAGTAAGGGAACGATTTAATCTTGATGTCAGTGAAGAAGAGGCGGTAAGGGCTCTAGATCAGGTGTTGGCGGATAGTGTCAATGCTGTTTTTGGGGTCGTCATCGATAGACTGCATGAGTTCGTGCAGGGATGGCGAGCATGATTCTGGGCCCCCTGTCGTTGTCCAGGTTGGGTATATCAGCAATCGAGCTATCAACGAGGTATATCAGTAGGTGCTTTGCTGGATTGCAGTGCGGACCTTGGACACGTCCTGTATATGTACACTGTTTCCTTGCATCCACACGAGTTACACTTTCGGCGTTCGGAAGATATCAGGCCTTCACATTCTCAAGTAGCCGTTCTATACGCCAAAATATAGGAGGGACCTGTGTTGAAGATACGTGTTGAAGTCAGAGCTACATAGGGAGACGGATGCCTGCTAGCGCGTTCACAAGCGAGCATGGCAGGGGGGAAAACCAGAGCGGGGTTCACTTTCTCCTCACTGTTTGCCTCACAGTACTTCGTAAACACGACCACAATTGTCAGATCTCAACTACCATAGCAGATCACTGTGACTGACTACCTTCTGTGACCTCTCTTTACAAGCCGCTCTATCCTAGATACACCTGACGCTCCAAGAAAATGTCGGCCGAAGCCCAGCCCATCTCCGCGGAACGTTTCGCTCTAGCCATACAAGACCTTCCGGCCGAGAACTTGTACTCCAAGGCTCAGGAAATCGAAAACTCCATCGCCCACCTCGAGCGCTCAAATAAACAGCTTCAAGAATATATCGATAGTATCAAGTCAGACCAAAGCATTCCAGAGAGCACGAGACAGGAAGGGGACAAAGACTGCTCGGATGCAATTCAAGAGAACCAGATTGTGATCGGTCGGCAGAGGGAGAGAGTAGAGCTGTTGAAGCGCGAGGTGGAGAGAAGAGGAGGGAAATGGCACGAAGCAGATACAAACGGGAAGTCGAACGGGGTGTCAGAGGAGTCTGGAACAGAGGCTGGAACAAGCACAACAGAAACCAGGAACGGAGGGGGCAGACTGACCGACGAGGAATTGCGGCGGCAGATGATGGATCGGCTCGGAGGCGACGACGATGATAACAACGAGGACGGAATGCATTTGTGACAATTTTACCTGAAGTGCAACAGGGTTCAAACTTTACTACACTGCCATGGCCGTTCTGAGTCAGAGTCCGCATCCCGAAGGCATCTGTGCCTTTCACAAACACCACCAAAGACACAGCAGTCCATCCACCGGTCGCTACTACTTCGAGGCATTCCTTTACCATCGCAAGGTTTTCCCAAGAAATCAGGCGAAACTATCGACACATAAGAGCACCATATCAGACACCTAGTTCTGCCTGTGCTTTCGGAATGCGACAGTAAGCAATACAAATCGTACACAGACCGCAGGATCCTGAGCGGAGGCAGTTCTCTCCATGGCTCCGGATATCTACATATGTAGCATCAAAGTGGAGTCCAGGAGTACGCAGACAGCCAAACCCGGGGGTTCAATACATCTGGGAGGCTACCGAGCGAAAAAGTCTATTCTTGCCAGAGCCAGGGGCACCATTCGAACGAGAGGGTCCGGAGCAACATTCGAGTCATTTGTTTCAGGCGACCTGCGCTGTCGGAGACATATGAGTTCGTGATTATTCACAAAGAGCTTGCCAAGCCGAGCACTTATGAGGATCAGAAAGTCGGGACCAGAACAAACCGAGTCGCTGACAAAACGTTTGGTGGAAATGGGATCTGCACTCCCCGAACACGTGCGAGGCTGCGGGTCGAAAGGCTGCGATACAACTCCTGATCTCCACTCCCGCGTCATAGACTCGAATGAATGATGACCGAATGCACGATCCCCTTTATTTTCGTCGGCCTCTCGATCCCGGATACTGCACATGCCGATGCAATCACATAGTTGGCAGCATATTTCTCGCTCTAAGATACCCTTCTCAGGATGCCGGGTGCTCGGCTGGATACCCATTGATAGTCGTGTTGGCGCGCAGATATGCTCAAAACTCCGAATCTGTCATGACGCCGCAAGGCTATGAGAATCGTTAATGACGTCTTTTAAATGTGATTCGTCTCCCCCTGGCCACACTTTTTTGCTCCAGACAGATATTCTGATTTTGGATCCTTGACTTGACTTCTAACAAACATGGAGGACCTCTTTCGGGATACAGTTGCTGGACAAATATTGCGGCTCGTTACAGGAAATAGGATTCTCCAATATCCCGAGGAGCGAGATCCGTCGCTATGGCAGAGATACCTCAACGTCGAGAAATCGGCCAACATGGCTGTCCATGGCAGCACGGTCACACCTGAACCAGAGAAAGAACTTCCCAGTGCGTCTTCGTCGGATCCACCTACACCTCCCACAGAAGAAGAACAGCAACAAGGTGTGCCATCAAATCGCGATCGGAGCATACCCTCAGAAGAAGCGAAGGAACAATTAGATCTGCCGTCCGCCGCTCAGGACGCTGATTCCAATCATCGGGGACCCTCTCGCCGCTCTTCAGGCTCCGCTGCAACAGCCAACGAGTTCGAAAATGTCCTGGTCAACACCGTTAGTGGCACAAGAATTGATCCTGAAAAGGGCCGAGATGCACACATTGTGGATTGGTACGGTCCCGATGATTCGGAGAATCCCCGAAACTGGGGGAGTGTCAAGAAGGTATGGGTTACCTTTGAGATCTGCCTGTTGACCTTTTCCGTTTATATTGGGTCTTCGATCTATACCGCTGGTATCCTGGACGTGAGCAACGAGTTCGGAGTCAGTCGTGTCGCCGCCACGCTAGGGCTCACTCTGTTCGTACTGGGATATGGAGTTGGTCCAATGTTCCTAAGCCCTTTATCGGAGCTACCACAGACTGGAAGAGGCCCGATTTATATCGGTACTCTCGCACTCTTTGTCATCCTGCAGGTTCCGACAGCGTTGGCAACCAACTTTGGCATGCTAATGGCGTTCCGTTTCATCACGGGCTTTGTGGGTTCTCCACCCCTCGCTACTGGAGGCGCCACGATTGGGGACATGTATTCTCCAGCAAAGAGAACATATGGCATGGCTGTATGGGGCATTGGAGCCGTGTGTGGACCCACCATGGTGAGTTGATCCTCTATTTCAGGACCTTCTTTCACGCTCGACCAAGCAATGTTGTCGTCCGCTCAATCTTCCTTGACGCTGACAATACAAAATGTAGGGCCCACTCGTCGGCGGCTTCGCGGCAGAATCCAAAGGATGGACCTGGACGATTTGGGAGCTCATGTGGCTCTCCGGGTTCACTCTGGTCCTCTTGATATTTCTGATGCCCGAGACGTCTTCGTCCAACATCCTCTACCGACGCACGATGCGCCTCCGCAAATTGACAGGCAACCCGAAACTCATGTGCGAGCCGCAACTGATCGGCGAACAAATGACGCCGAGGGAGATCGCCATGATGACCCTCGTCCGGCCGTTCCTCCTGTGTTTCACTGAGCCGATGGTGTTCCTGCTGAACATGTACATCGCGCTCATCTACGGCCTGCTGTACATCTGGTTCGAGAGTTTCCCCATCGTCTTCAGCGGCATCTACGGCTTCAGCCTGGGTCTCGAGGGCACGGCGTTCCTGGGCATCCTGATTGGCGTCCTGCTCACGCTCCCGCCCTTCATCTGGTACCAGCGGAAATACATCGAGCCCAAGTTCAACGACAAGGGCGACCTGCAGCCCGAGTGGCGCCTCCCACCATCCTTCGTCGGCGCCTTCGCCATCCCCATCTGCCTGTTCTGGTTTGGCTGGTCCGCCCGCCCGGACATCCACTGGATCGTGCCCATCATCGGCACCGCCTGGTTCTCTATCGGCGCCTTCCTCCTCTTCAACTCCGTCCTGAATTACCTGGCCGACGCGTACCCGGCGTACGCCGCCAGCGTCTTGGCGGGAAATGACTTCTTCCGGTCAACCTTTGGCGCCGGCTTCCCCCTCTTCGCCTCGGCCATGTACAAGAACCTGGGCGTCGGCTGGGCCAGTTCGACCCTGGGATTTCTCGCCATTGCGTTTATTCCGATCCCTTTCTTCTTGTTCAAGGTGAGTTTTGTTCCTTCCGCCCCTGAAGCCTAGATTGGGCAGAGTCTTGGCCATCACAAATGAATGTATGCTGAACAAATCCACAAACAGTATGGTGAGCGGTTGAGGATGAGGAGTAAATATGCCCAGAAGGATTACTAGGTAGGGCAAGGGGACTACATGGGACGATAGAAAGCATCAATAAGGTGTCGGTCGGTGGTTTCGGAATTCTATGCGAGTGATAGATACCCCTCCTCTCTCGAGTTCCTCGGTAATGGTTAGAACATGGTGAGAAATTTTTAGAGCACTAGGAAGGCATTCCAGGCCGGGCATTTGAAAATGTCGTTGATTCGTTTGTCCAAAACATTAACAATATATACTAATCTGGTTCTTGGGTCAATGCAAATCCCCCATAACAAAGGAAAAATTGTTGCCGCAGAGGCTGTATCGTTGTGTTGATTGTTGCTGAACAGTCGAACCAGTTCCAGCTGATATTTTTTTCCCCCATGTCATGTCTCTCCTGGGATCGAGGGCGCTGTACACTTTCCCCCCTCTTGCTCAGGTTTTGCCCCGTTGAAACAAATGAGACCTGGGCCCCAAGACGCTGTAGAGGCCGTTTTCGTGTTTAATGTCTTTGTCAACAGACACGTTTGCACTTCTTGCACCTGCTATCCATTCCAAGGTGCGGCGCTCGTTTCGTCAAACCAAGATATTACCACCAAATCCCCAAATATTCGTATTCCTCCACGCATGTGGACGCATATATGCTGATGGCAAAGTTCCTCCCACAGCCGCATCTCATGCCTTTGTGGTGTTGAAGACATACCCTTCAAAGACAGCATTGACCTTGACGCTGTCATAGAACCCAATGACCTCGACAATCTTCCTGGCGTCCGTGTCGTCCAATTCCGTCCTCATCAACCACGCATACTGCATGTCGTAGTTCGCACCATTCTTGCCAAACACACCTTCACTTCGCCAGTTCACCGTGGCCCAGTCCCCGTCGACGAAGATGTGCTCGACGATCGGTACGGGAAGGATCACCAACACGTCCCGCAATGGCGTGAGGACTTTGTCGATGTAGACCTGTTTGCCGCTGTACGTGCCTGCGATGGGACTGCTCCCGGTGACCGTCCACACGAGTTCATCGGACAGCGCGGCAGCAAACGAGGTGCCAAAGTTGTCGAGTGCAACAGCCGTGAACAGGGACTCGATGAAAGATCGAGTCGCCTCGGTCGTACTATTCACACATTTGCGAGGGAATGGATGGGCCTCTGCCATCATGAAGCCCCTTCCCAGTGGTGCTGAACTCGCCGACACCGACCGCGTGTCTTGGTAGAGGTGAAGGCCAGAGTCGTGGTGGAAATCGCCGTTGTTAGGGGACAAGGACGAGAAAGATAACAGGACTTGTAGGACGGTAATGAAGCAGACGGCCGCTCGGGCCGGGGACAGCACCTTAGCCATGTTTCCAACCCCGGCGGCACCCGGGCAGGCGATTGGGGGGAGTGGTTACATAGCTCCTCCCAATAGGTGATGACCTCCGGGCATTTATATACCTCGATGACAACCGGGTATCACTTCTTCACCTCCTCTTCCAGACTGGGCCCCTCCCATTCACTAGTTGTAGCATTTCACCGATTTGTTGCGCCACGTGTGCGGACAGCAAAGCAAGCGTGCTCGCCAGTCCCGTCGAGACTCTTAGGACGTGCATTGGCTCGAAGGCTTTGGAGTCGGTGAAAGGCAAGGCCCGTCGCGTGGGAGGGGTTGGCGATGGGTCTAGCGGCGCCCCGGCAGGCGAAATCGGTCACCTACTTGTGCTAATTATCTGTTAGTAGGCATGCCAGAGAGTTTTCTTCGACATTGGCAACTCAAAAATGAATCGATCGCGCGAAACTGACTCGGTCGTTGGAGAAGCCATCGAGATGAAGTTGTTGGGTGTTTAAAATCAGTGGCTTTGTTGTTCGTGGCCTCTGCAGGAGTTCGATGGGCGAAAACGGGTGCGAGAAATGTCGACTCTCGAATCACCTCGATGGACCATGGAACAAAAAGACATCTGCTTGAGGGTCTTGTCGTGCCTGTGGAAGCAAATGATAGTTTGATTCACGGAGCAAAGTGTGATCCAGACAGCCCTCAGAGTCGATGGGCGATTCCGTGTGTCCACAGCCCCAGTTGGTGGTCGGTCCCCCTCATTGCCGAGGCCGCAGAGGCAATGCATTTCAGCGACAGCGTTGTGCATTGCACTACCTGACTGGTATAGGTATCCCGGAACCTGTGTTGTCGTGAACTTTCATCTGTTCAATCGTCCGGACACGCATCAAGTGTCGTTCTCTCGAGTTTGACAACATCTCCCGTCGTTATCAAGGGGGGGTTCGCAGCGTCTTTCGTGCCGGTATTCGAGTGGTGGGGGAAGAAGAACCGATGGAGTTGAACGTCGACATGTGTCGCCTCGTCCCTCTTTCCATCGCTCTACCATCCCATCGACCATCGTGGTTTCTCTGGTTCAATCTCTCTACGTGAAGCCATGACAGGACTCACGAATACAACGGGGAGTCTACCTGGGGCTCTGGCTGCTCGACATCAAAGGACAAATAAGATCCAACATGCGCCTGGGGGTCGTCCATGCCGTGGTTAGAAAAGCCATCGCTAATACCGTTCCAAGGTGTCCACCACTCCGCTCTCAATCCATTGCTCACATTCCCGCTTTCGAATCGAGCGTGTATGATCATCAATTCTCCTGTCACGCCTGTCGATCTGTGGGAACTCCCCCAACAGTTCTTGAACCTGGCTGTATCCTCTGTTCCAGCACTTCTGTATAATACCATCCTCCCTCGTATCATCAAGAGGCGGGAATTATTTGTTCTCAAACTTGTCCATCAGGATAATATCGTGGTCACGGCCCCATCGTTCAGTCTCATACGGCTCGTGTCCACGTAGGAGGGTATAGAATACAGATCCGATGGCAAAGGTTTCTGTGTGCGCACCCGATTTGCCATAAGTACCACTGACGCCGTCCTCTCCATCGTGCAGACGTCGTCCGAATGGCTCTGTCAATACTGGGATATCCTCCCCCATCCCTATGGCGCGGTCGAAGTCGCTCAATTTCAAGTCCCACTCTTTATCGAGGAGCATGTTGTGCGGGCGAATGTCTCCGTGCGTCAGACCGATTCTCTCAAGTCCCGCAGCCGCGAGACACAACTGTGCCATCCACCGTCGAATCGTCAGAGGTTCAAGGTGCTCTGTGACTCGAAGAACCTGCGGACCGAGCCGCTCTTGATACCGGTTGAGATGTTGAGCGACGCTTCCCTCGTCGGCAAGCTCCAGGAATGTGCTCAACGGTGTCCGGTAGAAACTCTCGATCAGAAAGGGTATTCGGTCTTGCTCTTCCAGCAGTTCAAAGACTTTTTGCTCGTGTAGATGGTCTATTTCTTCATAAGGTCCGGTACGTGCTATCTTGACCGCAATAAAGGGTGTCAATTGGTACACGGTACCGTTGGCTCCTCGACCGAGGAGGGTCATGCTCATTGACGAGTAACTGTGTCAGAATAAATATGCGTACGGAGAAGGGCTAGTCAAGACGTAGGAGCCAAGGAAGTACATGAAGCGCTGTGAAGATGCGTCGACTGAAGTCAAGTTCAAAGTTCTAGGCTGACCCCTTGCATGGTCGTACAAGCCAAGAGCCCGTGACTCCAAGTGTATGTATGCCCTCGAGTCTAGTTGAAGGTCACGTATGTCCGTTATCCAATACCAAACAAGAACATCATCACCCATACCGTGCATTCTCAACCTCTTCGTCGAACCACGCAGGTGGAATACCATAGTTGATGACGGTGCTCTTGACCTTTGTATAGCTCTCGTAGGCTTCGACGCCGTTCTCCTTTCCCATGCCACTCTCCTTGAATCCTCCCCAGGGTGACGAAGGGTCATTGAGGTGGTGTCCGTTGATCCAGACAATACCGGCCTCGATCTTCTCCGCCATCCGGTGTGCCTGTGAGATGTCGTTTGTCCAGACCGACGCTCCCAGGGCAAAAGGGCTGTCATTAGCAACGCGAATGATGTCCTCCTCCGACTCACATTTGACGAGCGCAATCACCGGGCCGAAGACCTCATTGCATGAGAGATCGGAGCCATGATGTGTTTCGATGATGGTGGGCTCGAAGAAGAACCCCTTCCCCGCCACGGTCGTTGCGTTGCCGCCGCAGAGAACCTTGCCACCATCTTTGACGGCACGGTCCACGAACGCGGCGCATCTCGCCTGAGACGCCTGCGAGATGACCGCCCCGATCTGTGTCTGCGGGTCCTGCGGATCGCCTACCCGCAGGGCTCTGACTCTCTTCTCCAACAACTCTGCGAAGCGATCATAGATGTCCTTGTGCACAAGTAGCCGACTTCCCGTCACGCACGTTTGCCCACTTGCAATGAAACTGGCAAACAGCGCAGCTCTGACGGCGTGCTCGACGTCTACACTCGGGAGAAGACATACCGGGGCTTTCCCACCAAGCTCGGCCGTGATAGGGATCATGTTTTCGCCAGCCCTCGAGGCAATGGCCTTGTACGTGGCGATCCCACCAGTCAAATCAATCTTGGCCACCAACGGGTTCTCGCACAAGAACCTGCCCGTGTCGCGGCCGTAGCCACACACGATCTGCAACGTTCCATCTGGTAGTCCGGCCTCCTGGAACAAGGCGCCGAGCCTCAGGACCGACAACGGTGCCAGCTCGGAGGGTTTCACCACCACCACATTCCCCGCCGCGAGCGCGGCAGCGATCTTCTTGGTTGCTATCAGAAGAGGATGATTCCAGGGCGTGATCTGCACCACCACGCCTAGTGGCAGGCGTGTGAGGGTATTGATGACCGGTCCCTTGAAGGGTGTGACCCGTCCCTCGTGGACACGAGCCAGCGACGCAAAATATTCCAGCCACTCCGGTATACGCGCCAACTGGGCACGCATCTCACGGATAGGCCGGCCTGTCTGGCGTGTCTCGAGCTCCACGAACTCTGGGATCCGTGACCGCAGCAGCACTGCCGCCTTGGACAAAACAGAGAATCTTTCCGACGCGTCTGCACGGGACCATTTGCCTTGGCGGAACGAGCGCAAAGAGTCGTTGATGATTGCGTCGACAACCTCTCGCGATGTGGCGTCTACCGTGCCTATCGTTGACTCGGTGGCGGGGTTGATGACCTGTATTCGGTCGGTGGAGGGAATAGCATGGACGCCATCCACCCAATTCGACGTATGAAGGAGGCCCGGCATGTTGTGGGATGGGGGTTGACTACTTGGTGCTAACATCAAAGAATACTATGTTCTACTAGTCTGCGACTTTGCAGAATCAGTTCGATATCGCCAAGACGGGTAAGCGATCACCCGTATCTCCGTGTCTGACTGATCGTCTCGATCGACGTATTGAACAAAGCAGTTGTGTATACTTTATTTACGAAACCTCAATCGTCAGGCCATCCACCTTCTTCAGTCTCTCGACGAAAGAATCCCCAAGACACCCCGGGACTAGGAAGCCGAAGCCTGGCTTCCCTGGACCAGTGCTGGACCCAAAATCCATCCCCCAGAGATCCAACAACACGGCCGACGCCTCCACAGCCAGGACTGCGGAATGATAATACATATTACCATCATAATGCCAATCCGCCCTCACGAATGTTTTGTGGTTGAAGACCTTGGCGTTCTTGTCGCCTCGTGCAACTGTGTGGAGGTCTAAAGACTCGTCCTGTCTCACAATGCCCGATTCAGGCGTTACAGGCTCCAGCTTCATCAACGAACGCAAGACATTTGTAGGCAAGCTGCCCAGTATGACGATGCCTAATTTGTTGGCCAGGTATACCCCGATCGCCGCGGCTTTTGAGCTGACAGGCGCGTATTCGTGATAGACCAAGTCCGGGTGGAAGATTGACGGTTCCAGGTACCGGCCACGATAGACCACGGCTTCATTCCCCGACGAAGGATAGGACAATGCGAGATATCCCAGCTCCGGGTCCCATGCAGCGCAAAACCATGGTTTCTGTGGAAATGGTGCCTGTGCCAGAGGCTTGGGCAGTAGCCGGAAGGGTTTGGGAGATGAGTAATGGCCAGTGCCGTACCGCTCGGTGACAGCGTGCATGGTGCTCAAGGACCCTTGGCTCATGGCCATGTTCTTCATGTAAAACGAGCATATTATCTCTCTGGCTGGCGTTTCGTACCTGGTCTGGAATTCCTTCGCCACGAGGTGCGCCAGGATCGAAGACGGTCCGCTGGAGTTGCCAATGCCAGGGATGATGCGCGCTCGATTGGTTTCTGCCATGTCCTGGTATTTCTCAATCATCTCTTCGATCCAAGGGGTCTCTGGCGACCAGTCGAAGTAGCCGGTGCCATTCTCTGCGCACGCCTTGACCACCGTTTCACCGTAGGTCGAGTACGGACCGACGCCGTTGACGAGGATTTTTGTACTTTTGGTCAGACTGTCCAGATCGGGTTCCGAGAGAGAACATTGTTGCACATCTAGGAATCACTTTAGTTAGTAAATTCGGCCTCAAAAATAAGTACCAGTCAAAGATTGGGTGGGATGTTGTTTACTACTAACCTGGTATTATCTGACAGTCTGGATTTTCCTCTTTGAGACTGTCTCGTAGAGCCTCAATCTTGGCGGCATTCCTCCCCGCGAGCGCCCACCGGACACCGGGAATGGGGTACTTGGCGAGGTACTGAGCGTACAACCTGGCGGTGTAGCCGTTGGCCCCGAAGACCACGATGTCGTACTTCCGCTGCTGCGTTGGAGGTGCCATTGCGAGGAGTATCCAGCCGAGTCATAAGACCGCCGTGAGAGCAAGTAAAGCAAATTGCAAATTGCAGGCGCAAGCAAGGTATTGCACCAGGAGATACTATAAGGGCGGGGAACCCAATTCGGAAATAGAGTACTAGTCGTATGGGGGAGGAGCCGGGGTTACGTGGGATGGCTTCTCGTGGGTCCCGCGGCTGTGGTATCCAGACCCTCGGCTCGGTGGCAACCATACCAAGTATATACATACTAACAGACGTACTACTAGTACTAGTACTAGTACTTGAGTTGTTGTTGGGAGCAAGGAAACATCCTGGACCCTCGGTGCGGGTTGAGTACCAAGTACTCGTCCTCGGTAAAGTTCTTTCTGAGCTGTGTGACACTACCAGATTGATGCGTGTCCTTGGGAGATAGTGTAAGATAGGCCAAAAGCTATTAGTACTACTAGTAAGTATCGTAGTCAAGATATCTAGATGTGTTCGATGCTTCAGGCTGCGTTCAAAGTAGCATCAAAGTAGTATCAGTATTTGGTTCCTACGAGGGTTAATTCCCCGGTATGGTACCAGTAGTAACTGGTTACGAGAGAGACACTTTATTTACTTTCAACTGCAATCCCAGACGAGATGCTGCCGTTTGGACATAAATAACAACACTTGTTTTCCTGTTGAAGCAGGTTGACTTTAGGCCGGAACCAGAGGGCAGATCCAAAGTGGCAATCTCATCTGGTTTTGTATTTTTGCTACTACTATAGTTAGTTGCCTGTGACTGATGCATTGATGCCTTGGTCAATGTACATTTAATATGCATCAGACGCAGTATCAAAGCTGCACCTAGTTAGTATACAGCAACATCAAAAACACATCGAAATTAGATCAGAGGATAGTATTATGGAGCCATCAGTCGTGCACTTACCTGAGTCGGCGGTCGGTTGGAATATGGAATCAGACAAAGTGATCCATCGACAGAGGAGATTCCAACTTGTCAATCATTGATACTACTTTGATACTTCCCCGGATCTCAGAAAGCAAAGTACTACCAAGTTATTTTGGAAGTATGAAGCTTCACCGAGTGCAGCATGTCTCCAGAGATTATCGATACATTGAATATAGGTATTTCGCAGTAGCAGTCTTGGAACCAGTATTGTAGTCCAATGGATTTGGCCGGTCAACCCATGCTATGCAAATAACAGAACCTTTGCCGCAAAATTAGATGCATTGTGCACTGTGAAACGCGACACGAAAATATACCAATTGGGTTTAACTGCTTTTGGATCGATTTTGGCCGATTTAGGAAAGAAATATGTCACCCAAATCGGGACATACTTCTATCACTACAACTCCATTTGGTTCGCATTGATAGTATCTTCCATGGTTTATTAGTAGTAGCAGATGTTCAACAACTACTAGTACTAAGTATACATCCGAATCTCCTTCCAACAAGTAGTACTGAATACTATTGTCCACTCACACTAATAAAGACAACCTGCACCGCTGCAAACCTGTCAACTGTTAGCTAAATGAATGCCCCAACTAGTATGTAGTATGACTTAGTCGACTCACGCAGAAGTTGCTGAAAACACTTCAATCAATCTCCCATCGTTCAAAAACCACAGACACGTTGAGAAAAGCGCACTGAAGACGGCAACCAGTCCCAGACGGATGCCCATTCCTTCTATCAGGTAAAGCACGATGATGGCAACAACAGGCAAGAGCGAGGCAAGCACTGTCCCCAACAGATTCGCTGCTTGGGTGATGGCTGTGTCGGAATATTCTGCAAAATTGGTGCCAAACTCGGAGTTGCCGCCACGAATTGTCCTCTGGGAGGCGGCGACTCGTCAGTGGCACAGAAAATCAAAGGAGCGATAGACAGTCTACAAACAACACTTACAAGATGTCGTCCTATTCGGTGTAGCGCTGGGACCAGGTAATCTGCAATCCAACTCCTTAATCGGTTCGAGCGTGGCCTGTCTGCGATGGCGACGAGGTCCGTCCCTTGAGACCACACCTCTCGATCCCGACCCGTGAGATAGACGGCTCCTAAACTTGGCCTTCGCAGCCATTCTTGCAACCCTGCCAAGTCGTTGGTGCTGGGTTTCGGCATTTCTGACATCTGGTGGTACTGTATCACTGCTTCATCTTGTCATCACTGTCGTCAGTCTTTGCTACGCAACAATCACGGCATGAAGAGCTAGAAGCAAGAAATGGCATATCTACTGTATTCCTTCAACAGTAGCCGCAGCTGCAGGAATTTCTGCCATTGTTGATTCACTCTGCCATTTTCGTCTTGAGTGCTGGCCAACGTGAACCAGTCCAGAGCGAAGTCGTTCAAATCATCCGACGAGGCATTTTGGGTCTGGGCCTCGATTTTCCGCAGGTCTTCTCGCAGCCCATATATCTCGGCCTGGAGGTAGAGGATGTTTTGCATCTGAGATTCAAGTCACTGAAACGAAGAACCTGGGCGGATTCGGGATGCTTGCCCATGAAGCTGGCTATTTTGGTGTAGCCCTCCATCTCCTATCAAGCACTTACTCCTAGCAGTATGGCGAACACCGAACTTGTCTCTCTTTTATGGTGTTGTCTGGTTGTTGAGACCAGTTGAACTCACCTTTTCGGATTAGCCGCTGCGTTCTGACTGCCTCACTAGTACTTTAGTAGCCGAGCCATGGCAGACTCGAGTGAGGCTGTGCACGTAACACATACAGCCTTACAGGAAACCCTTTTTCAACTTCGCTTTCAGCTGAGATTACCACTTACTACAACACAACCTTTTGGCGAGCGGTAGTTCCGGGGCCTGCTGGATTCTAATACAGTAGTAACCTTGTCAGCGCTGTTTATCTCCATCTACTACCACAACTACTAGACCAAGCGCTCTCCAGCATTCCGTGGAGGCCATGGAATCGGATCTACACCACCTGCAGCCCGGTCTAGATCCCCTTAAACATCCATATGTCGCCCCCCTGACGAGTCCGGAACCTGATGAACCATACGCATTCCTCAAGACCTTCGACACCATTTTCTTAATTAACGATAGCGACGGACAACCTTGGTATGAATATCAGGCAGCCCTTGCTGCCCTCCCCACCTGCAAACTCTGTGATTCTTCTGGTTTTGTCAATTGTCACGGGCTCTACCTGTGCTACAATTTACGGAGCGAGTATCGGTATCACAATCGAAGAGGTCGGGGCAAACGCAGAAATGAAGCATTCTGGACGGATTTCAATTCAAGGCCCGATACGGTGGGCCTCCCAATGGCAAAGACAGAATTTTCGGCTAACAATACTGACTAGGATATCTTCGATGGACGCGATTGTCTTTTTGAAGATGAGAAGGGCAGCCTCAAGACACCGGCGCTCGCAAATCTCGACACTGGACTCAAGGTCCCAGGTGGTTTGATCATGTCGTCCCAATACGCCAAAGAGATCGGACGTTATCAGGACATTTCGCAGGATTTCGTCGACCCGTGTCTGCGGAGTGTCTCAGGCCACCTCACCCCGGTGACCGGGGTGCTCCGAGACGTGGTTTTCCGGGTCAAAGGATCGTCCGTCACATTCAAGCGCAACTTCTTCGTCTGCGATGCCATCGACGGCCTGGTCGACATCATGTTCGGCGCCCACTTCATCACCGACCAGTTCAAGATGTTGTTTGGACGGGTGAAAGAATGTCTCGGCACGTTTGCAACATGGTTTTCGACCCGGAAGGAGACCAATCAGGAAAGAGAGGAGAGAGAGCGCCGTGAGCGCGATCAAAAAATCAAGGCGAACGAGAGGGAGATCGCGCGTTTGCGCAAGGAGCAGCAGATGCTGGAGGCTGCGAAGAGGCAGAGTCAAGGAGGTGGCCCTGGCCCTGGCCAGTGAGTATGGGCCCTGCCGGAGAAGGAGCTCAGATAAGCCTCTTTGTGCTCGAAAGGATCCTGTGAGTAGTAGTTGTGAGGAGTGATGGGAGATACGGGAGATCATCTTTTGCCAAAGCCTTTCCCTTTGGCACAGGCGTAAAGATTGGATCCTCAGCCTCTGCGTTGCTTCCTCTCAACCGCGCCATGGAGTTCTGAGACCAAAAAGACGACTGCTTCACTCCGCACTCCTATGTGACGTCTGACGATAGTGGGAAACTTAATGCCTGGGGATAATGGTATAGTGACTTGAAAGGTTCGGAGACCTGTAGGAAACCCGTACGACAAACTGCTTCACTTGGAATCCCCATTTACTAAAGTAGAGTAGTACTATTCCCCCTTCCAATATGCTACTGTCTGATGTCGAGGGAGTTCCAGTGATAAACTCCCTACCCGCCCTAGACATAGTCCCTGGTACTGACGGATCAAGACGACAGCCCCAAGATGCGCTCACGGTCAGCTTTTCGGCGCTTGCAAAATTGACAAAAGGCAAGCGTGTCAAAAGTGGCGCTGTGCCTTTTCCGAAAACCGTAGGCGAGCCCCAGTACCGAGCAGCCGGACGCCCAGATAGAAAACAGAACAAGAACGAGCAACGGAGGAACTCCTCCGCCGTCGACAAGGACGGGCCGCCTCACCGTTGGATCCAGCGTGGGGTTGGGCCATTCATCCACCGTGTTTTCCTGGCCGTAGAACATGAGCGCCAGCGCATAGTGCTTGTATGCCTCCTCAAGCGCACGCTGGAGATCGGCACGCTGCATCAGTCTCGTGTAAGTGACAAAACCTGTGCGATTCAATTCAACAGGCATGTCCGCTGCCGAAAACAATGGCTCTAACCACTCGATATCGGTCCCCATCAGTTTGTACTCTTGCCCCCCAGGGTAGTATTCCACTGGCAGTGGGGTTGTGAGAGAGGAAAAATTGTATATGTCAAATGAAGCATTGCTTCTGATGCCCGGGAGAAGCATGGCCGGCATTCCAATGCCGAGTCGAGGGACGTCGACCAAGTAAGAAGCCTTCGAGTCGGCACGATTAAAGTCGGTGAATGTGCCAGTGAGGCCATTGATGTCAGCACGGCCGGCCACCGAGGAGGATTTGCACTGGATGCCGATGGCGAGCAAGTCCTTTTCTTGAAAATGGTGTTCTTTTTCAAGTCCTCGTATGGGATGTTCAATCACTTTGGAAATTTTGTTGTCATATCCACCCTGCCACAGAAGGATCTCCAAGAAGTCCACGTCCTCCAATCCATTGTAACTCGGCTGAAGGTTCCCATCCTGGTCCGGAAATGGGTACTGGCTGTAGCCGACGCCTGCACCGGGACTGAGGTCTTCGAGGTCTTCGATGCCTCGGATGAGGCCAACTTCTGCAAAGCCGAGTGCATTCAAACTTGTGCCATCACCGCCGTACGTCGGTAATTGGCTCAACACGTTGATCGAAGGGCTGGCGGCCCAAGGTCCAAATAGTATGTCCAGGTCATAGTAGAAATTAGCATTCCCCAGGGCATTGGCGTAGTACAGCGCGGCCGTGTCATTGCCGAAATTCATAAACTCGAAATCAGCAGGCACGGCGGTGTAGTTAGTCACATAGCGTGGACTGGTCGAATTGATCCGATAGTTTAAGATGCTGAACTCGTCCATGTGGTAGACAGGGGTGCAACTATACTTGAGTAGCAGACCCCAGGCCGAGCCCACAACAGGCATTGCAGCTTGCGGGGCCAGGAAAATTCCCTGGCTGGCGTCCGCAGGGAGCGTATTGGGTGTGGATGAATTGGTCAGGAGTGTGCTTCCCGACTCGGTGTAGAGGGATCCCCAACTCGGGATCTGCGCTGGAGTCCCGTATCGCCAACCTTGATACGCCGCATCCAATACCGTTGGTGGGTTCCGAGTGTTCATGGTTGTTTCATTGACTCCGAGAACTCGGGCATTTGCACTTTGGCCTCGAACGAACCCCGTCGTCACGCTCATGGCCAAACCGGACAACACAAACGTCCAGGACAGGACGCTGAGATTGAACAATATCACCCACACCCTACTTGGCATCGGCTTCTTGCTCTTTGCTGGGCTTGCTGAACTTGCTGGGGTCCTTCGAAGCCACTTGCAGCTTGCAAGTGCATCCCAGAGGCACCTTACGGCAATCTTCCAAGCACCGATCGTACTCCATGACTTGTCGAGGTGGTAAATCAATTTATCGTTGTTGGCATTAGCTCTCGCGAAGTATGCATCCAACAAGGCCGGTTCCAGCCCTGCAAGGCAGTAGTTGGAGATGTTCAGCCCAAAGGTACCAATGACGAACCAAGACCACCAAACATATTGGGCATTGGGAACGACTCCGCTTGTACCAAGTGCGACGTTGCTTCCGGGTCGTAGCCACGTCAGATACGTCCATATGAAGTATACTAGAATTGCAGGGGGTACAAAGATGCATATAAGAGTGCGGTTTATAAAGATTCGCTTGTCTCTGTGCTGATTGCTTGCTCCTCGAGCAGCTTTCGGGTCATTCGCTGTGCCAGACCCTCTCCATCATCATTAGCGAAATGGTTGTTGATATTCGTCTACCTTGATGGCGTACCTTTTGGTGTTGCTGTTTGGGAGCAAGGCTTTGTTCTCCGGCAGTGAGGCTGGTGCCATTCTCTGTCAATTAGTGGCTCGATATGTACATGTAGAATGTCATGGAGGACAGGAATCAAGGAAGCAGTTTCAGTGATGGGTCGACAATAACACGAGCAATTGCTTTTGAAGGATTATTCCACCTTGGTCAAGCAACCACCACATCAGGCTGTGAAGACTCGAGGCTGTTAGGCTATTATTGCCGACTCAGCCTCATGGTCGGGTTGAGCAGAAACAGACTACTGTCAAGGTCTGCCATCCTTTCGCTTCACCTGAAGAACGATGCCCAACTCCGTTAACCCCAAAAGGTCTAGAAGTCACTATAGGTGTGGGCTCCAGCAAGGGGGATTGGCTGGTAAAGGAGGAGCTGACCTTAGGGGGGGCCCATATTTACGTGAACTTCGTACTTCTTAGACGAGAGTCAGCCTAAGAAACAACTCGAACTACAAAGGTCCCAAAACACATGTGCATCTTCTATTGGGTATTCCTTGCCCCAATCCAAGATTTACCATTGGCTTTTCTCAGGTTTCCCCGGCCAGAGCGAGCAGATTGTGGACTTGTCGTCTGTGAGGCTCTGGCCCAGTCATATAAAGATAGAAAAAGATAGAGAAGCCCATTCCTCTGGTTTTCTGATCTTCAAAGTCTTGAAGATACAATTTCACAGTCATCTCTCCACTTTTTACTGATTTCGTGGCCAGGATTCCCTCTCTGGTGCCTCTCTATACTCTCAATGTATCCCAACATCGCCATTCTTCTTTCTCTCCTTACCTTCAGCATTGGCACTCGTATGCGACAACTCTACTCCATCGCTCCGTTGACCACAACTACGAAAAGCTAACTCTTGGGGATAGGTGGACAGACAACCCCAGCGCCTACCACTTTATCCACCGCTCTCCCGACGGACTCTGCCGGCCTGTCCAGCTACTTTGCTTCCATCGTGAGCTCCTTTTCGTCCGAGATTAGCGCCTACGAAAGCGCTTCTGAAACCCCAACCACTGATCCCAACGGTCAAGCTTGCAACAGCCTGTTCGATGTGCTATTGACCGTTTGCCCGACCAGAGAAATCGCCACAGCACCAGACAGCTATGATTCCATGTGCTACTGCAGCCTCTCTTCTGCCCTGAATAGGCCCCTGTACAAAGGATGGCTGTCTAGCTGTGACGCCTACGAACAGACTGTCCCTACTGAGAACTATACTGGAACTTACAACACGCGGATTTCTGCCTCTAGCCCCAGGACCTATGATTGTGACGCAAAAGGTGCTGGAGCTACTACCGTGAATACCGCGGCCGTAGCTTCGGCTTCTGCGGCTACAGGCGCTGGAGTTGCAAACTCTCTCACTGTCGGGGGTATAAAGGTATGCTGTTGCTTTCACGGTCTTGCTACAGCCAACTTACATAGCACATCTAGGCCAGCATTGGAACCGTCATAGTTGCTTTGGTCAATCTTGTACCACTCACCTAAGAGGCGTGTTGCAGAAAAGATAGCTTTTGGTCAAACTCGTCTCCAGGAACAAGTCCCACAAATTCTGACGGGATAGCACACGGGCGAGGAGAAAGCTCCAAAGCCGTTGCCTGTGTACAAGAAGACGAACCCAGGGAAAGAAAAGAAGAGGGAGGGGGCCCACGATGGTGTAAATACCCGGCGGTCGTGCCAAACCGCCAGACATTGTGTCAGCCTCTGCGTTGCTTCCTATTGATCGCGACATGGACTTCTGAGTTAAAGTCCAACCGAACGGCCCATCTCTTCTGCGAAAGCGAGATATGTTAGCGAAGGTGTTGTTGAGGCAAGCCCTGAGCCAGCCTTCGCTGTTAATAGCGTCCGCCTTGGCACCAAAAGAGAGTTCCGGCAATTATGACTAGATAGGCTAGCTGCCCCCACAGCTGCTGGCGCACCTGGAGTGGAAGCAGTTCCCGTTCCTTGACACTAGGGCAGCACCAATTGCTCTCCTAATGCGGGATGATGGATGCCTAGCCTTGTTCGGAACATCAACATCATCTCCTCTTGTCGACCATCCCGTTCACCACTTTCCATCGCCTCACCACCCCAAAGGACTCAAAGATGACTTCGCCACAATAGTCTTCCTGCCGCAGGCTGTCAAGTCCATGCTTTCCGCCATGGAGCCGCACTGCGAGGAAATCGCAAGAGTCAGCTACACCAACTTCGCCCTCTCTCTGTTCGTCTTGTCCCTGTCCTGTCCAGTCCCATCTGATCTCGCCCCCGACTCTAACATCCCGCCCTCCATAGGTTCATCCTCATCGGTATCCTGATATCCTACCTCCCGCAACATATTCGCATTATCCGCCTGCGCTCCTCCTTCGGACTGTCTCCGTACTTCGTCCTGCTCGGCACCACCAGCGGCACCTGCGCATTTGCGAACATCCTTGTCCTCCCGAGATCGCGAGCCGACGTCGCTTGTTGCCGTGAAGTGGATGGATTTGCTTGTCTGGCTGGATTGCTAGGGATCGCACAGGTGGGCGTGCAGTGGTCCTGTTTCGGAGTCATGTGAGTAACAACCTCTGCCGCTGCCCTCCAAGCTTGTGGTACAAGCCATCCTCGGGCGTCGGAGCGAGACACTGACACGAAGAATCTTATAGCCTACTTTTGTTTCTGATATTCTTTCCGCGGAACCAACTCCCTCCCACACCTCTCGATGAGGACATCGCAAGCAGCTTCGAGCCCAACCCTCCCGCCTACTCCGCCGCACCAGACGCTGCTCCACCGTCCCCCGTGAAGCAAACCGCACCCCTTGCCCCATCATACCGCACGGCTCTCGTCGTTGTGGCAGTCTGCATTTTGCATGCCGCGGTGACAGCGATCCTGTCGTTCTATTTCATCTACGCCGCGCCCCTCCATGCACAATCATGGGCCAACTTCCTTGGTATATCGTCCGCAGGGCTCGCAAGCATTCAGTACTTTCCACAAATATATACCACATTCAATCTCAAGAGGGTGGGGAGTCTGAGTATACCGATGATGTGCATCCAGACACCCGGCAGCTTCGTCTGGGCCGCTAGCCTTGCGGCAAGGCTGGGGCCGGAAGGATGGTCGGCTTGGGGCGTCTACCTCGTGACTGGGTGTTTGCAGGGCACGTTGCTGGTCATGGGCAGCTATTTCGAGATTGTCCGGAGGAGGAAGGAGAAGGAGGAGTTAAAGAGGCGGATGCAGTACAATTCTAGTATCGAGCCTGAAGAAACAGCAGGACAGGAAGCATCGGAAGAGACGCCATTGCTTAGGTCAGGTTGAATCTTGGAATGCGATCAATATATACCTTTCCTGCCTTTTACACGCTTAATATGCTCGATCCTTGCTCTTTATCTTTTACGCTTCGTCTGCGTTCTGACACTAACACCCGAGTGCCATCATAAGCTTGTCCTGGGAATCTGCGGAGGCGATGGTTCTTCCGGAGCGTGGCGTTTACCGTCTGCCAACGCCGTCATTTCTTCCAATTCCTTGTCCGTCATGCCGCCGTCGGCAGCGTGCTGACTGTGTTCTGAGGCGTCTCTCTCATCGCCAACTTCAATGCCGTATTTCGAGAAATCAAACTCCTCTAGCGAGGACAGCGTCTCTGCCCATCCGTCCATAAGTTCCCCAGGGTACCCGGGACTGCCCATGAGGGGAACGCCCTCGGTGTGGTCTAGATCGTCCTCTTTATGCTCACCGGTTTGTCCCGCAAGGACTTCCTCTTCTCTCCCACTGTACACGTCGAGTAGTCCCGGGTGTGGGACCCATACGACCCGCATCCCTGCCCTTCTGCCGGCCTCTACCCCCGGTACACTGTCCTCGAAGACAAGGCACTCGTCTGGCGTGATTGGTCGTTCTCCTTCACCCTCTATGGCTAGGGTCTCGTTGATGGTCTGCAATGCTAACAGATAAATGTCTGGCAGGGGCTTTCCTCTCCCCTTGGGTATCCGCGGGTCATCGCCCAGAATGACATGTCGGGGAGGGAAGAGACTAAACAGGTCTTTCATCCCACTAGTTTTGAGTTCAAAGTTTTTGGAATGTGAGCTCGTCGCCAATGCGATGTGAACCTTCTTCTTGTTCGCCGGGTCCGGGGAGACGGACGCCCCGTCGCTCCTTGCGTGCGCTCTTTGCAGCTTCTTCAGCAACTTCTCCACACCCGCGAGCGGCCTGCAATTCACAAACGCCTCGGCTTGTAACTCTGTCTGCCTCCGCATGAACTCCTCCCTCGAGATGGGGAGCTGGGCCCACTCGTGGAAGATCTTCCCAGCGGCGGGAGCAGGTCGACCTTGGAGCTGTGCTTTGATGTTCCACGGCAGGTCGGGACGGCCGTTTTCCCGCAGGATCGTGTTGGTGACGACGGTGTAGGCGTCTTCGGAGTCGATGAGGAGGCCGTCCATGTCGAATATGCAGGCACGGACGGGTTGGAAGCTAGTAAGCGGTTAGCATTTTCATACAGGGAACCGCACGCAGGCGGTATACGAGGGCTGCGAGGTACGTACTCTCGGGGGTGCATTGAAGTTTTATTCTCCGGCGCCATGTTGAAGGACTCTGATGTTTTTGGGAGGGGAAGACAACCGCGAATCAGATACAATCTGTAATTCAATGGCAGGGGCTGGAGGGGAAGGGCAAGAGTTTGCGTCGAGGGATCTCGCAAGCTTTTGTACCTGCAGTGTCGAGTGTCGATACTACCCCCCTTGCAGGTACCACGTTCCTCCTACGGATCTTGGATTTTGCCCGTCTATCTCGATCAAGGTTGGATTTGGTGGGGTTTCAGCAGCCGAACACGAGGATGCAACGTCATCTGTGGGTCGCGTGGACAGCCTTGTCGAGCACCACTTTCAGCCTTGTCTATTTTTCCCATTCATTGTCTAAGTACTTCACGATAGAGACATCATCCTTTCGCACAGTTCGAGGTAATTTCATACAGTGGCGGAAATTTAGATATGTCATTCAAAGCAGACGGACCCAAGACTCGTCCCGAACGAGTAAAACCACCGCCATCTTCTCCTCCGACAGAAGCGCATCCCAATCCGCCATCATGGTCCCGCCGCTCCTCGACCTCGTCGACCACCTCGTTCCACTCCGCCCACTCAGTACAGCAAGACCGCTTCTCCCCGGCGGAGGAATCTCGCATGGTATCGCTCTCCAATGACCTGAAAACACAGGCAAATACGTTCTTCTCGCGTCAAGATTACGAGTCCGCAATCCAGACCTACGACCGCGCGCTAGCGGAACTGCCGCGCTATCTGGACTACGAGATGGCCGTGCTACAAAGCAACATCGCGGCTTGCCACTTGAAGCTTGAACAGTGGAAGGACGCGGTCGAGAGTTGCGAAAGGGGTCTGGACGGGCTGGAACGAGAACTGCCGACGAAGAGAAAAGAGAAGACAAAGAAAGGCACAAAGAAGCGCACTGGCGGGAAGGGATCGTCGTCGGACAGACACACCAACAGCAAGAGTCGGGCCGGGCGGTTAAACTCAGACGCTGAGTCGGAAGACGAAGGAGCGCCGCCATCGCGGTCTACAAACCTGGGGAAGGCCGGGGAACGAGACGACACTGTCGTCGAACTCCCCTCGGACGAGGAGGACGAATCTGCCGCGCTGAAAAATCTCCAGCTCTCAGACTCGAGAAAAGCAGACATCACGCGGATCCGGGTCAAGCTTCTGCTGCGCCGCGCCCGCGCGAGGTCAAACCTGTCCATGTCGCCGTCCTCAAAAACGTCTGCCCTGGCAGACCAACCCACACCACCTTCAAAAACCTCCTCCGCACCAGGCTCGACCTGGTCCAACCTCAGCGCCGCGTTGGAAGACTACAAGACCCTCTCCTCCACGCCGCAGTACTGGGAGACCCTGCCTGCGTCGGACAAAAAGACCGTCCGTGACGCGCTGGTGCTCCTCCCGCCCCGGGTCGAAGAGGCCAAGCAGAAAGAAGTCAGCGAGATGATGGGCAAACTCAAAGATCTGGGCAACGGCATCCTCAAGCCGTTTGGGCTGAGCACGGACAATTTCAAGGTCGTTCAGGGCGAGGGCGGCGGGTATAGCCTGAGCTTTGACGGCGGAGGTGGAGGGGGGAAGAAGGCTTGAAGACGATCGACGCATTGAAAAAGGGCAGATGGATGCAGACATTAATGAAGATCTACACTGATGCTGTACGCACTTTGTGCATTGAACAGGTGTATAGTTACTTACGAAGATAATCTGATGAAAACGAATCATTTTTTTCTGGATACTACGGTGGTATGTAGTACTACAGGAGTACTACCACCACTATTAATGCACCTCTCCTCGATCTCAATCACAGATCTCAAACACACGCAACAACACACAGACACGAGATTGTCGAATGATGAATAGAAAATGACACTTTCTGCAGTTTTTTATTCAAATCCCAATCCAATTTTCCAGGTCCCACTCGAGTTATCGCTCGCTCAGGACCATAATTATTACATGTGTGTCTGTATGTACGTACGTCCGTTTTCCTCTGCACTGATACCCAACCAAGCCTTTGTCGTTCCTAGGTTGAACTCTGTCCGAAAATAAGAGAAAAAAAAAAGGACAAGACCAATGATGCAAAATACACACACACGCACAATGTGGGTTCTGTAGCCACTGTCCATTCCCCCCCATTCCCCATTCCCATCCCTCCAGGTCCTGATGTCCCTTTTGTCTATGACTCTTTGTTGTACAGATTCCCACAAAGGGAGAGAGCAAGAGGAACAAAGAATTCTTGGTCGGCGCAACAATGAAAGACCCTCTCTGAGTCAATGTTGGGTGTTTGTTGCCGGTTTATTATCAGCGAGGCTGTGATATGTGTGTGTGTGCTGTGATCCCATCCCTTCCATACCACCACTGACTTGACATGACATGGCATGTTCTGTACTGTACAATTGGAAGCTCGGGTGGAGAGGAGTATTGTCGAAGTCGAGAAAAGAGAGAAAAGAGGCGGGAGATGTGTCGTCGGGTTATTGTGGCTAGACTGATATTGAGTCACATGGGCCACGGTTGGTTGAAGAAAGGAGGTTGATGGGATGACGGGGTCAATCGCCGCCGTAGTCTCCGTCCTCTTCGTGCTCTGACTCGGTCGATTCACCGCGTCCATTCGTGTGCTCTGCCTCTTCCCGCGCAAGAATGTCCGCCATGTTGGCGTGTCCTTGAGGTCTCTCTGTCATGATCCCGCTGTCCTCGCCAAAGGTGGTGACAGCGTCAGTCAAGCCGCCCAGCCCGGAGTCGTAGCTGTGTGTCCATTGTGGATTGTCACCGGCCGAGAAAGCAAAAGGATCGAGAGAGATGGTCGATGCCCCAGAGCTGTAATCAGAGTTGATCCCGAAGCTGTCCTGCATGGGCTGAGTTAGCCAACCATGCGCTGAGGCTTGGTCGCTGGGAGTCACTGACTCGGTATGGTTAGTTGAAGCACTGGATGTGGGTCGAGAGCGGGGTGTGGTGTGAAGTGGCCGAAACCGAACGTCGGAAGTTGTCGCATAACCTTGTGCGAACATCGGTGGGTACTGTTGCATGACGCTCCGTGGCACTGGTGACGGTGTCTGCATTGTCTGGCTATAGGCCTGCGAGTATTGTGGACGGAGGACATCGCCAAACATCCCTGAAGGAATGGCACGGCGATATGGACCGTTGTCAAAGATGTCGTGGGGATGTGGAAGCGGGCTTGGTTGAAGACTCTGTGAGTTGCGAGGTCGAAACATGGCTGGTGGTGTCATAGACATGTTTGCAGGTGCAGATGCTGGATGGAAGACAGGGAGTGGCAGACGTGTTGGTGTGGTCATTGGCTGCTGGGTCGTCCTAGCAGGAGCAGCAGCAGAGGTTTGTCGACTGCGTCGAGAACCCTGCTTGACAGGCGGAGGCGAGAAGTCGTCATCTGCTTCCTCATCGTCGCTCTCTTCAGTCTTGACACGTTTGACCTGTCTCTTGTCCTCGGCCTCTGCTTCCTTGCCTCTCTTCATGACTCGAGCCTTGAGGCCGTTGAGCTTTCTATTCGCCTCGACACGCTCAGCATTGGTCCTTGGGTCGTCGACGACTTTCAACATGTACTTGACATCGAAGAGGTGTTTGCAGATGGTCTTGGAAGTTGCCATGGTCTCCACAATGCTGTCAAATCGTTCTTCAAAGGTCCAATCACTGGTTCGCTTGTACTTGAACTTGCCCGGCTCCCATGCGTCGACAAGGTTTGCATCTTTCCTTGAGCGCTCGATGCATGCCTCTAGAATCTCCCAGCAAACACATTCGACAAGGTAATTATCATGAATCTGATTTCGGAAAGGTCTCTTG